GGCTGTGGGGTGTGGATGGGGATGTGAGTGTAGGTATGGAGTTAGAGTGAAGAGAACATCCACATGCTACATCCACTCCCACACACACCCACACCCCACACACACCCACACCTCACCCACACCAACATCCACACCCACAAGCCCACAAGCCCACACACCCACACCCACACCTTCAGCATACACTACCATGGTGCATAAGCACTTGGCGCTCGTTTGTTTGTGAGAAATTGGGATAATCATTATTAAAACCAAATTACTGCTGACTGATTTCTTCTATTTTGCTTTTCTAAAACAAAGTTTTTAAATCGATTTAATGTATTCAAAAAAAAACAGAGTTCACGATTACATAAGATAGATCGATAATGTTTCAAAAGTTCCAATACAAAACAAATATTAGCAAGTGATTTATTTCAATAGAAGTCATGAAATAAAAAATACGCGAAAAAAATTCAGCCAGTGCGATTAATAATAAGAAAAAATAAATTAATAGTTGGTGGCAGGTATGATTAAATGTTTTGGTTCAGGCATATGTGGTATTGCATTTAGGAAACTCTTTAGTTATCAGGAAAAAAAGAAATCATCAATACAACGTTCTAGTCTTTGATTCAAAGTAATAGTCGATTCGACACTTTCAGGTTGAAAAACGGATTAATGTTTTGTTTCAAACTTTTGTTAGGATGTGAAGGTTTTACATACTTCGATCTATAAAGTTCTATTACAGCAGTTGCATGCGTCCACACGTTTTTCTCAGAACTTCTTCACATAAAAAATGAGTCAACAATTCAGGACCTTGGGGGGAATTAATATCCAGCTGTTCACAACGTCCTGATGTCTCACTTGCAATTTTTTGAAAATTCTCTTTTGCGCCGACATGCAGATAAAATGTGTGAACCGGAATATTTTTGATCTTTAGTTTTTGTAGTTCCTCTGTATAATGGGTTGGTGTTTTATATCTAGTTTTACTCCAGTATGCTTCACCACCGTTAGCTTGTCAGTCTCTGTTTATTGCTACTCTATCTTTTGCCGGTGCGTCTCCTATCAAAATTACCTGAGATATTCCGTTCGGTTGCTCACTCTGCTGAACTGCATGCCACAGTCCTATTTCTATCGCTCCTTCGGAATATTTACCACCGATAGCAGAAATTTGTGCCATAAATTTTCTTAAATTATTCGGCTTGGTTTCCCAACGAGAACTCTGAAGAAGTCCGTCTTCTTTACAGTCATAATCTCTATACACTACAAATTGCATACGAAATGAATCACCAAGTAATCTTTTTTCTGTTAGAATAGCCGCAACGCGTTCAAGTAGCGTACAGACCGTTTGTTGGACAGCATATAATAAATTTGACATAGAACCTGTGGCACCCATAAGCAATACCGTCCGTGAAGAAGCTGAAATAGAAAAAGTCTATCTGAAACAACATTATAGAGGATGCAGTTCCCCAACTGTTAGCAATTGAAAGTTTTCTGTCAACCCCGGCAAGACTATCCATTGCTTTGATCTAGAAACATTACGAATCAGTCACAAGAGCATTCTTATATCGTCGAGTTAAGCGCTGTAGTCACATTAAGTGGAACTTAGTATGAATATAAAAACGATGTTATAGGTAAATAAGTTTTGCAAAGATCATTCATAATTCTGATTTCAATTTTTCAAAATGAAGTCCATAGATCTACTTTGGATCTTTCCAGTTTCGTGTTTTCTAGTTTATTCAGTATTGAAAAATGATGTATAAATTTTGAATACATTCTGAAGATCGACAAGTGGAAGAATTTTTTCGTCTCGAATTTTGAAAAGATTTATATTTACTGATATGAACTTGAAATGTTGGTTAAAAACGATAGTTATTTTATTGATTTTATCATGAGAATATGTTTTACAAAAAAAATATATGAAATTTGAGTATTACTTTCAAAGAGGTTATTGCACTAAATGCTGTTCTGCACTTGTTTGTAGAATATACAACAAGATATAGACAGAAAGAAAATGGAAGCCCATTCAGGATCTTTACTTGATCGGTGAAAGATATAATCTGGAAACACGAACAGTTTTTGCAAGGGAATATTAAAAAAAAATAACATGTGAATGATTGATTTTACATACGAAAAATCACTTATAACTATTAAGTTCATGGAAGAAAACAATAAAACCATATGACGTGATACAATAAAAGAACATACTATAACAGCGAGAAAGATAAAATTACACTTGATTTATTTATTCAAAAAGAAAACGACCGATAAAACTCAATTTCATTCATAACTTGAATGAATGTAGTTAGAAATAACGTAGTTCTATTGAATCTTACTTTGAAGAACTAAGCTGTAGCCAAGAGTTCAACTACTATATTTAAATGTTTGAATATTTATTATCATTCTTATTATTTCACGTTACAGCCTTCTAGCATATTAATGTCACATATAATAGTTTTATGACGTAGTTTTTGTATCAGTTTAAAAGAAAATTTATCGCATAACATTAAGTTAAATCCATTCGCTTTTTTTAAATTCTAAACGACCTGTGTTATATATACAAATGATGGTGTGGGTCATTGTCACTGATTTGCAATCACTACACAGGTACACTAACACTGATCAAAACCGAATTATCTACATGCTGAGTCATACTATAGGAAATGCAAGCAAGAAAGATTTACAGTCCTTCTTAAAATGTAGTGCGAACCGAGTACACAATTTTTTTTTGTCAAAAATAAGATCAAGTCTGTCGCTACACTGGTTGAAATGCGTTTATTCTTATCTTCAATTTTGAAAAAATTCTTGATTCTTCACCAGCGAAGATTTCGTTTTTCTTTTACGTTGTGCAGAATCTATCCTTAACTCTCAATGTCTCACAACACACTTTTGAAAGAATAGTGAATATGTTTTTTTCATCGAGTGAATTCTTTTCTCTTCGTCTATCATCAGAAGAAAAAGGGATATAGATTCTATTTAAGTCTCTCATTATTCTTCTAAAATACCATGTAGAAGTGTCCCATTATGAGTCTCAGGGAAAATACGAGTTCAAAAACGAAAATATGATACAGTATCACCAGTATCAGTATTGTGGTACTCGTAGTGACAATGATTAATTCCTAAGCACTATATTTATGCTATTCCTTTGCAGTCACCTAACATTCCATAGTGTTAGTAGTAGTTGCGATCTATTCAGGAAATGTGCCGAGCTTAATTAGAAAGAAAACATCCTTTCACATTGGTATTCAAAAGATGTCAAACGGGCTTCATTGTTGCTGTTTTAAAACTTTCATTAATGATAGAATTCTATAATTAAGTTCATTCTATATGATTGTCATGAAAAATTGTTTGAAGCTATTTGTATAGATAATGTTGTCTCAGAAATATTCTTCACGTGAACTATTTAGCATTGAACACACATTTTCAGAAATACTGTAGATATTTGAACATGCTCCATGATTATCGTAGTATTATTTGATTAGCATCTGAGAGCTATCATCTTCGTATATAGTCGTGAAAACTTTATGGGAAATCATTCAACGAAAGTTTCAATTCTGTACTAAGAAGGTCGATGCATACACAGTGATAGCGGATGGAATATGCAAAGAGAGAAAACAGATAGACAGAACACGATGAAAGAATCGATGGTGAATGGAAAGAGAAGTAGAGAGAGCTTTCGTATATTCTATGGTTTGATCGAGAAAAAATCTAACTTTATCTGTCCTGAAATATTTTTCAAATGAAACAAGTCTTATACTGATTTTTTTTTCTTTACTTCATTAAATGTTGTACTTCTTACCTTGAGTTTGTTCACATATGTATATATTCTTGTGACATAGTTGAATACTTAAAAATGGAATCTGTTCAGAATTTGAGTCGTTCGTCACTCCATGGGTCACGTCACGTAATATATTTACAATGTCTTCGTTCGGAGTTGCAATATGTTTCAGAAGATGTTTCATAAATAAACTATTTTGCTCGCCGGGTCTATCATCTACTAATGTACCAGGTGCACAAGCAAATGCAATCAACGAGCCTGCTTTATGCATTGCTGTCAAACCTTTTGATTGAGAATCGTTTGCATGCAAGGCACGTTTATCCAAATCGAAATTTCTCAAGAAATATTGTCTACAGCAATCCAAAAGAAAAATTATAACATATGGTTTTCTGTTACTTAATATGTTAAGAATGTCTTGTGCGTTGATGGCATTCTTTTTTAAAAATTCAGCTTTCTTTTTTGAATCCGTTATATTCATATCAGGAAAGTCTTTTGGCATCAAATAATTTTGATCCTAAAAATTATAGAGGCAGAACTCATAAAAAAGAGAAATGTCTAAATGATTAAAATTTTAACACATACTTCCCATTGTACACCATGTCCAGCAAAGTAAAATAGTACCATATCGTTCGATTGTATTGAGTCTTCAAAATCGACAAGAACATGTTTCATCTGAGCCCGTGTTTTATCCAATTGTGGTTCATTAGTAATGAAGCCAATGAGTTGCAGAAGAGATGATAATGATTTTGCATCATTTTGTGGATTTTTTAATTTGAAGATATTGTCATAATCGCCAATGCCAATTACAAGTGCTGATCTTCGTCGTAGTCCAGATGGTCCTTCAACTGTCATTAGAAATAACTTCAATCTAAAAACATATATCTCTTTTCATAGGATTTATCTTGACGAATAACTTGACGTAATTAGAGACACTTGGAAGGACTTTTCATAAATGCTGAATATAAATCCATCTTTTCAAAATAATTCAGCCTGTAGCTCTCTCTAGATGCAGTCATTTCCTTCTTTTAATTGATGAAAAACATCTGTTGCTTCTGCAGCTCAACGATAGAAAATTTACAAGAATAAACTTGAATTAGATCGACACTAATATGCTCTATTTAATGCAAACGGTATTCATTTGCACATCATGTTCCTAATATTATAAAAATGAAAGCTTCTAGGCTTTCGAATCAACTTTGATTCGCCATTCAATAGAAATAGCAAGTATAAAAGACAGACACTGGACTGTGCACATCGTGAGCACAATCTTTTCGTCAAGCTTTCGTTCTCTTCTTTAAAAGCACTGTTATGTTGATGATTCAACGAAGAGTATCACCACTGTACGTTGGAGAAGACGGTTGTAGATGCGTTTATCGGTGCAACTGTTAGTACCCATTCCAATGTACACCTTAGTATAGAGTCAGAAAAAATTAGGCATGATTAATGGCACTATACCAAACATCGTATTCGATTTTAGTGTGATTACTGATACTGAAAAAGTCTTAATGGTCTCAACTCTGACATGTGATTGATAGTCGGATTCATGTAGATGCACATGTCAGTGGCTCAAAACTTTTCAGTAGTGTCACGTATCCTGATATTTGGAGATGCAACCAAATCCCTTGCGGAAGATGCTACATTTTCAGCGAGAGATACAGCATCCCATGTGGGAGATTCGGCATCTCCGGCGGGAGAGATGAGCGCTTCTTCAAATTTCAGGATATGCGACACCACTCAAACTTTTCGATCTTAGTCTTGCTCATCACTAATTTCTGTGAATTTGTTTCGCCTCACTATTGAAGATTTTTATAATTGGCAAAGTTTCTTCAACTAATACGGTGACATCGCCGAATGAAACGAACGTTTTAGTTTAATAACTGCGAATTTTGCTGGGATCAGAAACTTTTCTGATGTCATCATTACTCACATACATCATTGATCATAGTGTCTCTGATATTTTTATATACAGTTTCAATGAAGATGTAATAAAGCTACGTTGTACTTTCATTCATTTTGTCCCTTGAATAACTGTTTTCGGCGAATAGAATACAGAGAAAACGGAAAAAATGATGTAAGACATATATAGTACTAAAGATTGATTGGGTCTGGATGTCTCATAAAAAATAGAAGAAACATCAAGATCAGCTCCCACCAACATCTCTACCCAAATTGGTTACGAGTATTCGTTTCAGACTCGTTTCGATGACGTTCAATATTAAATGCATTATGGGATTGTGCACATGACGTTCAAAATATTTTGCTTTACTTCCCGATTCATTGCAATGCGATACTCACTACGATCAAGTAATGATAAGTCTAATATTCGTGGTAATATAAATGTGATGTTGTTGTTGATTCTCGTTTTGTTTTGTCTTATACTGTTCGTATATTTTTTTTTTCGAATGATTCGTTCGTTACTGTGGCAAGAGGGCAACATTTTACAGTTCTTATGTTGCTTCTCTCTGTTTGCATTTTACTTTCGTCTTTTTCATACTTTTGTCAACTACCCATTTTGTCGAGGAGAACTGCGTGTAGCAACAGTAAAACATGCAATTTCAAGAGCGGACGACGAGTAATTGCAAATAAGAAAAAAAAATTGTAGTTATTTGTGGAAGGAGATACGTTTGAAATGAATTACTCATATAGATACGCCTTTCTGTTTGATGTGAGGAGATTAACACGGTTCAAAAATATACAATAGCGAATAATAATGAGATTTATTGAATATTTTCCAGAAGTAGCTTCAGATTGTTTGATTCTTCCAGTGAAGAAATTCACATTGATGTAAATCTGGGACAATTTTTCTGTAAGATAATATAAAACTTGTTAATTATCAATAAAATATAATTCTAGGAATTACATACATTCTTTATAATACCGGATATATTCATGCTATTTCTCCAACCTAAACAATAATAAAAAACGTGAAGGATCTTTCTGGTCGTTCGTTTTCATTTGGACTTCAGAAATTATTTTCATTAGAAGAAAAAGGCGTGATTTTACTCAATCTACACTCCGACATTCGTACTATATTTTTCATTACTTAAGCGCACTGTATTTTACAATTATATTATTTTTGTTAACAAAATTCTGATTATCTTCAAATTTTTGCATTAGAAAAATCATTCAATCGTTAATAATAATTTTATGAAATAAGAGCAAGTAGTAGAAGACAACTTGAAACGAATCATGTAGAGAAAAACATATTGATTCAATCTTTCTGTTGGACGTCACTGTTACTTGGGGCATGAGGCAGATATGAGTGTGGGTGTTGTTTGGGTGTGAATGCGAACTTTCAATTTTTATTATGTTCAGTTGATGAATAAGATAAATAACAAACATGATCTAAATGTCTTTTAATAAGAATTAATTATAATATTCTGAATGTTGATAATAATTACTAACCGTACTATAAATAAATAATGTGAAATTTTACTCAGAAAAAAAACTATCTTTCATATACGCAACAATCATTGATAAAATAAAATAATATTTATTTACATTCCCTGACTTTAAGGAAACAATATCAAAATTTTTACAATAATCATTTTTATTTCAATAATTACAAAATACAATCTACACAGAGCGAAAGTAAAGACACAATTCTTGAGGATATACACTATTATCTTTTCAACGATTAGTCGTTTAATAGTAGCACAGTTATGTCATGTTGCATCTCTTGTAAAGTTCTCTGTTACATTTCGCAATTGATCATAAAATACTTCTATTTCAGTCAGATAAGGTGTCTGTGTCTTTGTATCAAGTAAAAATTGCTCAATATAATAATTATCCACAAACTTGATGCTAAGTTTAGTAAGATTAGGATACACAATAATTGAATATAATTGTATATTATCAGCTTTATATTGACCAGAATTCCATAACAGTGACATATCATTCATAATCGAAAGATATTTCAGCAATGGAAAGCTTTTAGCAATTCGAATGAAGAACTCATGTTTGAATGGAATCACATCAAACACAATCAAATAAGTAACATGATTGAATATCATAGTTGGAAACTTATTATTAATATGTTCAAGACAGTCAAATATAAATGGAAGTGAAAAAACATAACATACCGCTTTAGATTTAGAATAATAATTTACAGTACAAGCCGTTTGATGATAACCTATATTTGTAAAAGTTTCTTGAGTATCATTATCTGATAAGCAATGAACTGAATCATTGATCTAGATCTCACTAGTAACATAAAAATTAAATGTATAAAATCGTGGCATATGAAGAAAAATTTTCTTATGAAGATGAGTACCATCAACAAATCTATCTTGATGTTTGACACGAATATACAAAATTAATTTTTCCAGCTGTGTCATACGACGACATAAAGGTATCGCTCGATTATCATATGCATCAGTTTCAATATAACATATAGTTCATCCTAGAAAAGATAAACATGCTTTCATATACGTACATATCTATTAAATAAGTTCTCAAAAAAAAATTGACACGAATTATCGGTAAAAAAACATTGTTTATTTTTATTTATTTCAATTTTTGTTTTGCTTTTCTATTTAATGTGTTAAAAGTGTTTTCTAGTAATGACAAAAACAATTAGTTTACCTTTCTAAATTTTCAACACAGAAATAATAATAGACATTCAGAGACAACTCAAACATCGTAAAAAAAACGGTTATCATAAATTTAATCTATTACAAAAATTATTTATGTAGAAATTTAATCAATTCAATATTTATCAATTTATTTAATTATTACAAGGAAACTCATTAATTCTATTATTCATTTATTTATTATTAATTAAATCGAAAGTTAAAAATTGAAAAAAATATAAGATAGACAATGTCTAATATCTTATTCTATCCGCTAAACAAATGCTCATCGTCAATCATTCAATAAATTAGTAATTATATTCGATAGAACTAGTTTATTAAACAATCTAGGATGGCATTCTCTATTCATTTTTATAGAAAACAAACCATTTATCAAATTACTAATTAGTTCAACCTTATCACTGATAAATGGTCGCCAAAGTGAAAAATTTCTAAAATAAAGTATAAATTTACCGTATGATGGACAATCGATGAATCATTACTGATATAACCAATTCGAACAATGAATGTAGTCAATTGTTTGAGATGGCCATCAAGTAAATAAAGACAGTCATCAAAACTACATACATCGACACATAATTTTGCAATAATCGAAGAGAAAA